CTCACTCTGTCTCTTTGACACCTGCGGTTCTCAGGTTCTATTAGAATTCTGAACTTATTGTTTTATCTGTATTTATCTGAGAACACAAAGATTCCCACTGACACGACCGCTCTGTGTTTATGTGTCCATCCAGCTACAGGTCGTGGTTTTTGGACTCCAGATGAGGAGTCCAGGTTGAAGCAGGCTCTGAAGGCTCACCTGGAGGTCCTGGTCCAGGATAGTCCCGAAGGTTCTGGTCTGACCAGAGACCAGCTGTTTAACAACCTACCCTGGAAGGAGATCAGTCAGAAGGTTGGGACCAGATCCTGGGGCCAGTGTCGACTCAAGTGGTCAGTACACCTGCTGGGTCTGGATTATAAACTTTACTGGTCCTGTACTGGGATGATTCAGATACTGAAACATGAAGATAAAATGATTTATGATCCTAAAGGCCTTTTCAGATGGCTAGATATTTTCTTTATAGGCTACAGAAAACATTAAAATATATCTTACAGAATTATTACTAAATAATTTAACTACTAACTTTCAGGTGAGTTTAGTTCAGGCCAGTTTATACTTCTGTGTCAAGTCCACGCCACAGTCGACGCCACAGTCCACGCTGTCTACGTGTCGTCGTGAGCATTTATGTGCATTGGTGTCTGCGTTGCTCTGCAGTTACCCTTGAACCTGTTGAGGCAGAACTAGAAGGACAAGCCGGAAATGCGTAGCAGGAAATACGACGCTACCAAGCCAACCAATCACAGGTCTCATGTTCTGCGTTGCCACAATGTGTAGTTACAGTTTTAGGAAGACGCGCTTCAGGCTGTGACGTAGATTTGACGCAAAGGTATAAATCGCCTTTAACTAGAGTTTAGTTCACCCACGGACCGGCGGCCAAGTGGCGCTGCACCTGTGGAAAGATATAACATTATTTTAATGAATAAGAGAAAGCAGGTCTGTTGATGTCCCGGCAACTGTCAACAAACAGGAAGCTCACAAACAGTCCATTGATAGATCAAAGTTCAACACCATTCAGGAGTACAGGTGTTCAGGTGTATGATGTCTTTGTGTGTTTCAGGTTCTCCATTCTGAAGTGGAGACTTTCTCCTGGTGTCAGCACCTTCAACAGAGGAACTGAAGGACTTCAGGCTAAAATTAATCTGATCAACACGTAAGAGCACATAAGACCTGAAACAGGACACAGCTGTATGATTTTACATGGTTCCTTTGAAAGTAAAACTCCAACAGTAGCTGCTGTTCCCTGTGGACATGTTTTATTTTAAAGGCCAATACAGGCTGTAACCAGTCATGTATGTGGACAGGGTGTCTGGTAAAACAGTGTGACACCCAGAGATCACATTAAGATTTAAATGTGAAGATCTCGAAGTGCTCTGCTGCCCTGTCTCTCCTGTTTTAACACAAAGCAGCGCCATAAAGAAACTGGTCTGACCTCAACCCCGTCCAACATCTCCAGCATTAAAAATGAATAACTGTGTGTTTCAGGTTGTACAACATGCAGGTGGAAGATGCAGCAGACGTCGACTGGGACAAGGTCGCAGAGACTGTCGGGTAAGGTCAAAGGGTCAAACGGAGAGTCAGTGCAGGTGTTCACTTCCTCCATTGAAACCACGTTCACTTTCCTGAACAGAAGCTGCACCCGTCGCTCAGTGTTACTATCGGGTCCAACAGGTGCCCAGAGTCCTTCAAATGTTCTAACTCACACCTCAAACGGAGAAGTTTGAACAGGCTGCTGACCACGGTTTGGTGTTAATCTCCGGAGCAGCGTGTTAGTGCTTACAGGTGAAAACGATGATGCAGACGCTCATATTGGGCTTCCTGATTGGCTCTGATCAGTCAAGATACAGAAACACGAAGCTGCTGACAGGTTTAGTTTTGGTCATCTGGAAAGTTTTCACAGCGTTAAACATTTTGTTACAGCCTTATTCCAAAAATCAAATTCATTATTTTCCTCAAAACTGTACAAATAGCCCATAATGACAACGTGAAAGAAGTTTGTTTGAAGTCTTTGAAAATGTATTAAAAATCAGATCTCTCCGGAGATGTTCAGTCGGGTTCAGGTCCAGGCTCTGGCTGGGCCCCTCGGGGACATTCAGAGTTGTCCTGCAGCCCCTCCTTTGTTATCATGGCTGTGTGCTGAGGGTCATTGTCTTGGTGGAAGATGAACCTTCGCCCCAGTCTGAGGTCCAGAGCGCTCTGGATCAGGTTTTCATCAAGGACGTCTCTGTACATCTCTGCGTTCATCTTTCCCTCGTTCCTGACTGGTCTCCCAGTTCCTGAACTACGTCCCTCAGCCCGATGCTGCCGCCTCCATGCTTCACTGCAGGGATGGGGTTGGCCAGGTGATAAGCGGCGTCTGGTTTCCTCCAGATGTGACGCCATTAAGGCCAAAGCGGTCAATATTTGTTCCATCCAACCAGAGACTTGTGTTTCTTGTGGTCTGAGAGTCCTTCAGGTGCCTTTTACTGAGGAGTGGCTTCCATCTGGCCCCTCTACCATCCAGGCCTGATCGGTGGAGCGCTGCAGAGATGGTTGTTCTTGTGGAAGCTCCTCCTCTCTCCACAGAGACAACTGGAGCTCTGTCCAGTATGGGCTATTGTTTGTGGAATTTTATGCATTTTGGAATAAGGCTGGAACAGAATGTGGACAAAGTGAAGCGCGGTGAAAACTTTCGGCATGCAGTGTGGATGAAGAACTTGTCTTAGTGTTTTACTTTAAAAGGGTTGTTCGGCAGTGACTCCTCACCACGTCCACCTTCCACCCCAGGGGGACCCTCTTAAATACCAGGACAGTAGTATTAGTGTGTAACAGTAGTAGCAATAATAAGGTACTGATACTCTGTAGTCCAGTAGCAGTAACCGTAGTTCTGTGTTGTTGCGTTTCAGTACAGTGACTCCTGTATGTGTCCAGAAGAGTTTCCACAGACTCAAAGTTTCCGGAGTTCCCAACTGGACCAGTTTATCCTACGGAGGTCAGTACTGGAATACTTGATTATACTGTGTTACTGTAATACCGTATCTCCCTGGAATACTTGATTATACTGTAAGTTACTGTAATACCTTATCTGCCTGGAATACTTTACAAGAGTCCACATTTAATTCTCTGATAATTTTGTGCTATTGCAGTCGTTGTATCTAAAGGGAATATAGGGTTATGGGGGGCGTCACTACAGGGTTTCGCAGGCGGGGGGCATCACTACAGGCTCCAAAGCCCCCTTGGTTAGCTGGACACCACCTCGTTGGAATGGTCCCTCACCGGTCCGATTAGGCAGGGCCCTGAGAAACTACAGAGTCCACGTACCTAACTTCCTCTTCCTCTTTACTCAGAGATCATCGATTTCCTGCAGCAGAGAGTGGTTCCTGTCCTGAAGCAGAAGCTGAGGAGGTTCAGCAGTAAGGAGGTGCAACAGGAGGAGGCGCAGGAGGAGAACCGGTACCTGCTGTCGGACGTCTTGAGCTCTCATGACGACGAGGACTACATAGAGCTGGACAACAGCCAATCAGGACAAAGATGAGTGTAGAGACAGACACTGAGTGGGATGAACAGTAGGCCCCTCCCCTCCTTCCATGTGATTGGCTGTCTGTGGATGAACTTCCTGTGAGAGTCGGACTGAACAGAACCTGTTGACTGGAAGTGGACGAAGACTTTGTCTGATGAGTCGATGTTCAGACTCGAGTTTCTGTAACTTTTCAGGTTTTATGTCTTTAACTTTCTAATGAAGTGATTTTTTTTTCACATCTGTGTGAGCCGCTTCTGTCAAACAGCAACACTTCAGATTATTGATCAGAACCCTGAGGGATCCGACCCCACAGGCTCATCCACTCCTCTCACAGAACACACAGAACCCACAGTGAACAGAACCCACAGTGAACAGAACACACAGTGAACAGAACACACAGAACACACAGTGAACAGAACACACAGTGAACAGAACACACAGAACACACAGTGAACAGAACATACAGAACACACAGTGAGCAGAACACACAGTGAACAGAACACACAGTGAACAGAACACACAGAACACACAGTGAACAGAACACACAGTGAACAGAACACACAGTGAACAGAACACACAGAACACACAGTGAACAGAACATACAGAACACACAGTGAGCAGAACACACAGTGAACAGAACACACAGTGAACAGAACACACAGAACACACAGAACACACAGAACACACAGAACACACAGTGAACAGAACACACAGTGAACAGAACACACAGAACACACAGTGAACAGAACATACAGAACACACAGTGAACAGAACACACAGTGAGCAGAACACACAGTGAACAGAACACACAGTGAACAGAACATACAGAACACACAGTGAACAGAACCCACAGTGAACAGAACACACAGAACACACAGTGAACAGAACATACAGAACACACAGTGAGCAGAACACACAGTGAACAGAACACACAGAACACACAGAACACACAGTGAACAGAACACACAGTGAACAGAACACACAGTGAACAGAACACACAGAACACACAGTGAACAGAACACACAGAACACACAGTGAACAGAACACACAGTGAACAGAACACACAGTGAACAGAACACAGAACACACAGTGAACAGAACATACAGTGAGCAGAACACACAGTGAACAGAACATACAGTGAGCAGAACACACAGTGAACAGAACACACAGAACCCACAGTGAATAGAACACACAGAACCCACAGTGAACAGAACACACAGTGAATAGAACACAAAGAACCCACAGTGAACAGAACACACAGTGAACAGAACACAAAGAACCCACAGTGAACAGAACACACAGAACCCACAGTGAACAGAACACACAGTGAATAGAACACAAAGAACCCACAGTGAACAGAACCCACAGTGAATAGAACACAAAGAACCCACAGTGAACAGAACCCACAGTGAATAGAACACAAAGAACCCACAGTGAATAGAACACACAGAACATACAGTGAACAGAACACACAGTGAACAGAACACACAGTGAATAGAACACAAAGAACCCAGAGTGAACAGAACACACAGTGAACAGATCCCACAGTGAATAGAACACACAGAACACACAGTGAATAGAACACAAAGAACCCAGAGTGAACAGAACATACAGTGAGCAGAACACACAGTGAACAGAACACACAGTGAATAGAACACAAAGAACCCACAGTGAACAGAACACACAGTGAACAGAACACAAAGAACCCGGAGTGAACAGAACCCACAGTGAACAGAACACACAGTGAATAGAACACAAAGAACCCACAGTGAACAGAACACACAGTGAATAGAACACAAAGAACCCAGAGTGAACAGAACACAGTGAATAGAACACAAAGAACCCAGAGTGAACAGAACACAGTGAATAGAACACAAAGAACCCAGAGTGAACAGAACATACAGAACACAGTGAATAGAACACAAAGAACCCAGAGTGAACAGAACACAGTGAATAGAACACAAAGAACCCAGAGTGAACAGAACATACAGAACACAGTGAATAGAACACAAAGAACCCAGAGTGAACAGAACATACAGAACACACAGTGAATAGAACACAAAGAACCCATAGAGAACACAGTGAATAGAACACAAAGAACCCAGAGTGTACAGAACCCAGAGTGAACAAAACACAGTGAATAGAACACAAAGAACCCAGAGTGAACAGAACACAGTGAATAGAACACAAAGAACCCAGAGTGTACAGAACCCAGAGTGAACAAAACACAGTGAATAGAACACAAAGAACCCAGAGTGAACAGAACACAGTGAATAGAACACAAAGAACCCAGAGTGAACAGAACACAGTGAATAGAACACAAAGAACCCAGAGTGTACAGAACCCAGAGTGAACAAAACACAGTGAATAGAACACAAAGAACCCAGAGTGAACAGAACACAGTGAATAGAACACAAAGAACCCAGAGTGAACAGAACCCCTCGGCTACATGTTCATCTAGCTGCTGCTGATTCAGGAGAGTAAAAAGTTACAAAGACGTTAAAGGTTCTGTGACTTTAATGAAGGTGGATCTCTCACACAGCACTGTGTGAAGGTTCCAGCTGTAAAGTCCGAATACTTCCACAAACACGTTCAGATTTTATTGATCAATAACAAAATGTAAAGAGTGTGAACAGAAGAAAAGTCAGATCAGGATCTGGTGTGACCCCTTTTGCCTTCAGGTCTTCTAGGTCCACCTGCTCATAGTTTCTGAAGGAGTTCTGCAGGTGGGTCGGTCCAGACCTCCTGGAGACTCCCCACAGTCCTCCTGTGGAGTCAGGCAGCCTCAGCTGCTTCTCTCTCCTCCTGTAGACACACTGGATGATGTTGGTGGGGGCCACACAAGGCCCTGTGGGGCCACCATCACTTCCAGGACTCCTTGTTCTTTAAGCTGAAGATGGTTCTTAATGACTCTCGCTGTCGTGCTGCAGAATACATTTTGGGTCAATCAGATGCCTCCCTGATGGAACTGCATGATGGGTAGGTATCTGCCTGGACTCAGGTCCCAAAGTCCAGACCTGCAGGACCCTCCGCCAGCCCTTTGGTGAACAACCTGCTGCAGATATTTCACATGTGGACTAATCCGTCCAGATCCTGCTGCCAGTTCCTGTGTTTCCTGCAGAGTTCAGTTGTGTGGTCTTCCATGAAGGCCACTTCTGACCAGACCGGGGTCCCCCTGTGTCCTGCAGCTCTGAGCTGATGTCTGCTGGACACCTTCAGACTGTGAAGGGAGATCAGCTCATGTTTCATCTGCTGCAGGACGGTCCTGGTCTGTGGTCCTCAGCGCTGCCCGTTTCTTTGTGCTTCTTCAGAAGACCTTGGACAGCACACCTGGAAACCCCGGTCTGCCTTCAAAGGTTCCCTGGGGGACCTTGCTAATCAGTGTAACCACCTGGTGTCTGTCTCTTGACAGTAAACTGTCTTGGCTGCTCCTCACAGCAGTTTCATCATCCATCAGCACCTGATTGGTTTAATGTCAGACCCCTGATGTGCCGTGGTCACACCAGATACTGATCTGACGGAGGTTCTCACTTTGCGTTCTACTAACATGTCTGTTTTTTGAAAGCATTCTTACTTTACAGCAACAGCAGAGGAGGGCGGGGGGATTTTAGCCACTCTTTGTTTCTGGGTAACCGTAGACACCGTTGGTCATGTGACCGCACATTATTGGAGAGTCATCCACTCTACTGGCCCTGAGATGGGGACACGTGGACTAAGCGAGGAGCACGTTTAACTTAAAAGACATTCAGTGATGATGTGTTCGTGATTTGTGCGTCTAAAGAATTACAGACATGAGGCTACTGTTAGCATGACGTTAGCTCCAAACTGCTTTCTGTGATTCTACATTTCATTCTTCATTTTAGCAGCAGACTTACTGTTGGACCAGAGACGGTCGCGCCTCCTCAGGTGGATCTGGGGATCGACTTTAAAGCCAGACACTGATCTGAAACCAGCTGCAGCGGTTCAGGAAATGTTTGACATCTAAACATAAAACAAGGCAGTGGAAACAGGAAGGTCTCGTTTACAGACTGACAGTCTGGAGTTCATTAATGGGTTAAAACAAATCAGTGGATGCAGATTTCAGAATTTCAAACATTTATTAACTTTCATCTCCATGGAAACCAGTTTTAATCGGAATCAAACTGGTTTGATATTTATTTTCTGTAGAAAAATCAGCATTCAGACAAACGTGGACGTCACATGACCTGATGAGCCTCAATAATCAACATTTAAATTATAAATAAATGATCAGCAGCAGTTTGGACATGGTGTCAGCCGCAGTGCATTGTGGGCAGTGTAGTCTAGCGGTCGGTGATGGCGTGCAGGCTGCCGGTCCTCTTCATGATGTTCGGGACAAACAGAAGTCCTGACGCTCGCTCGATGGTTTCTATGGGAACCAGGAAACGCTCCAGAGGAACCTTCTCATCTATCGGTTCATTCGGTAAAACATACGACCGAAGCTCCACCCCCCTGCCGTCCGCCTGCTCCAGGATCAGCACCTGACAAGACACGGAACAGGTGAGGTGGTCGTCGCCGTCAGACAGGTGAGCTCATCGCCGTCAGACAGGTGGACTCACCTTGAAGAAGTGCGTCGGCACGGCAACATGGTTTCGTCCTAAAACCTGATATCGGACGTAGAGTTTCCCATCATCCTCCTGCCTGAAAGACATGCACACCTGATGTCATCCTGCAGCCCCTCCCACACAGCACCCAGACACCACAGAAGAAGAAGCAGACGGGTTACCTGGGCAGGTAGAGCGGTCCGGTGCACACGTACACGTTCAGATAACGTTTGGTCAGAGAGCGGCACAGTTTCTCCAGGTTGTTCCAGGCGTTCTGGTTCAGGTGAGGGTTCTGAACACAAGCATAGAACACACGTGTAAACTCGGGTTCTCCGCAGAACACGCGCAGTAAACTCAGGTTCTCCGCAGAACACGCGCAGTAAACTCGGGTTCTCCGCAGAACAGACGCAGTAAACTCGGGTTCTCCACAGAACACGCAGTAAACACGGGTTCTCCACAGAACACATGGGTTCTCCGGAGAACACACGTGTAAAATCGGGTTCTCCGCAGGACACCCTCACTAAACTCGGGTTCTCCGCAGAACACACGCACTAAACTCGGGTTCTCCGCAGAACACACATTAAACGCTGGTTCTCCACAGAACACACACACCTGCGGTGCCACATTGCTCAGGTAGAAGGTGTCCTCCATGGCTTTCTGACTCCACTTGTGATTGGCTGCAGCAGCCAGGTGACCTCTGTCGAAGCCACTCCCTCTGTAGTCAGCGCTGGTCGCTCTGTGGAACATGTGCACACTGGGGGGGGCGAGATTAATTAAAGCAACTCACATTTGAGGAACAACATACAACTGTTTTACCTGTTTCCAGCTGTTTCTACCTGTTTCCACCTGTTTCCACCTGTTTCTACCTGTTTCCAGCTGTTTCCACCTGTTTCCAGATGTTTCTACCTGTTTCCAGCTGTCTCTACCTGTTTCCACCTGTTTCTGCCTGTTTCCAGCTGTTTCCGCCTGTTTCCAGCTGTTTCTACCTGTTTCCAGCTGTCTCTACCTGTTTCCAGCTGTTTCCGCCTGTTTCCAGCTGTTTCCGCCTGTTTCCACCTGTTTCCAGCTGTTTCCAGCTGTTTCCAGATGTTTCTACCTGTTTCCACCTGTTTCCGCCTGTTTCCAGCTGTTTCCGCCTGTTTCCAGCTGTTTCCGCCTGTTTCCAGCTGTCTCTACTTGTTTCCAGCTGTCTCTACCTTTTTCCAGCTGTTTCCAGCTGTTTCTACCTGTTTCCAGCTGTTTCTACCTGTTTCCAGCTGTCTCTACCTGTTTCCACCTGTTTCCAGCTGTTTCTACCTGTTTCCAGCGGTTTCCAGCTTTTTCTACCTGTTTCCAGCTGTTTCTACCTGTTTCCACCTGTTTCCGCCTGTTTCCAGCTGTTTCCGCCTGTTTCCAGATGTTTCTGCCTGTTTCCAGCTGTCTCTACTTGTTTCCAGCTGTCTCTACCTGTTTCCAGCTGTTTCCAGCTGTTTCTACCTGTTTCCAGCTGTTTCTACCTGTTTCCAGTGGTTTCCAGCTTTTTCTACCTGTTTCCAGCTTTCTCTGTATCCAGCTGTTTCTACCTGTTTCCAGCTGTTTCTACCTGTTTCCAGCTGTCTCTACCTGTTTCCACCTGTTTCTGCCTGTTTCCAGCTGTCTCTACCTGTTTCCACCTGTTTCTACCTGTTTCCACCTGTTTCTACCTGTTTCCAGCTGTTTCTGCCTGTTTCCAGCTGTCTCTACCTGTTTCCACCTGTTTCTACCTGTTTCCAGCTGTTTCTACCTGTTTCCAGCTGTCTCTACCTGTTTCCGCCTGTTTCCAGCTGTTTCTGCCTGTTTCCACCTGTTTCCGCCTGTTTCCAGCTGTTTCCGCCTGTTTCCAGCTGTCTCTACCCTTTTCCAGCTGTTTCCAGCTGTTTCTACCTGTTTGCAGCGGTTTCCAGCTTTTTCTACCTGTTTCCAGCTTTCTCTGTATCCAGCTGTTTCTACCTGTTTCCAGCTTTCTCTGTATCCAGCTGTTTCTACCTGTTTCCAGCTGTTTCTACCTGTTTCCAGCTGTCTGTTTCCAGCTGTTTCTACCTGTTTCCAGCTTTCTCTGTATCCAGCTGTTTCTACCTGTTTCCAGCTGTTTCTACCTGTTTCCAGCTGTCTGTTTCCAGCTGTTTCTACCTGTTTCCAGCTTTCTCTGTATCCAGCTGTTTCTACCTGTTTCCAGCTGTTTCCGCCTGTTTCCAGCTGTTTCCGCCTGTTTCCAGCTGTTTCTACCTGTTTGCAGCTGTTTCCAGCTGTTTCTACCTGTTTGCAGCGGTTTCCAGCTTTTTCTACCTGTTTCCAGCTTTCTCTGTATCCAGCTGTTTCTACCTGTTTCCAGCTTTCTCTGTATCCAGCTGTTTCTACCTGTTTCCAGCTGTTTCTACCTGTTTCCAGCTGTCTGTTTCCAGCTGTTTCTACCTGTTTCCAGCTTTCTCTGTATCCAGCTGTTTCTACCTGTTTCCAGCTGTTTCTACCTGTTTCCAGCTGTCTGTTTCCAGCTGTTTCTACCTGTTTCCAGCTTTCTCTGTATCCAGCTGTTTCTACCTGTTTCCACCTGTTTCTGCCTGTTTCCAGCTGTTTCCGCCTGTTTCCAGCTGTTTCCGCCTGTTTCCAGATGTTTCTACCTGTTTCCAGCTGTCTCTACCTGTTTCCACCTGTTTCTGCCTGTTTCCACCTGTTTCCGCCTGTTTCCAGCTGTTTCTACCTGTTTCCAGCTTTCTGTTTCCAGCTGTTTCTACCTGTTTCCAGCTTTCTCTGTATCCAGCTGTTTCTACCTGTTTCCACCTGTTTCTGCCTGTTTCCAGCTGTTTCTACCTGTTTCCAGCTGTCTGTTTCCAGCTGTTTCTACCTGTTTCCAGCTTTCTCTGTATCCAGCTGTTTCTACCTGTTTCCACCTGTTTCTGCCTGTTTCCAGCTGTTTCCGCCTGTTTCCAGCTGTTTCCGCCTGTTTCCAGATGTTTCTACCTGTTTCCAGCTGTCTCTACCTGTTTCCACCTGTTTCTGCCTGTTTCCACCTGTTTCCGCCTGTTTCCAGCTGTTTCTACCTGTTTCCAGCTTTCTCTGTATCCAGCTGTTTCTACCTGTTTCCAGCTGTTTCTACCTGTTTCCAGCTGTTTCTACCTGTTTCCAGCTGTCTGTTTCCAGCTTTTTCTACCTGTTTCCAGCTTTCTCTACCTTTTTCCAGCTTTTTCTACCTGTTTCCAGCTTTCTCTGTATCCAGCTGTTTCTACCTGTTTCCAGCTGTTTCTACCTGTTTCCAGCTTTCTCTGTATCCAGCTGTTTCTACCTGTATCCAGCTGTTTCTACCTGTTTCCAGCTGTTTCTACCTGTTTCCAGCTGTCTGTTTCCAGCTGTTTCTACCTGTTTCCAGCTGTTTCTACCTGTTTCCAGCTGTCTGTTTCCAGCTGTTTCTACCTGTTTCCAGCTGTCTGTTTCCAGCTGTTTCTACCTGTTTCCAGCTGTTTCTACCTGTTTCCAGCTGTCTGTTCCTTTTTCCAGCTGTTTCTACCTGTTTCCAGCTGTCTCTTCCTTTTTCCAGCTGTTTCCAGCTGTTTCCAGCTGTTTCTACCTATTTCCAGCTGTTTTGCCTGTTTATTCCTGTCTCACCTGTCGTCCTCTTTGAAATCGCAGCGCTTCCTGTCTGACGGGCCGGTCAGGGAGGCGGGGTTTAGCCTCTCTATTACCCAGGATGCAGTGCGTGTGCGGGGGTCGTACGAGGTGACGTAGGACTCTCTGGTCTTGATGTTGGCCAATGAGGGAAAGCCGTACTTCATCACCGCTCCTGTCCCACCTGGAGTCACCTGGACAACAAGACAACAGGTAAATACTGTACAGGAAGTCCTTTTCAAAGTAAGACGCAGGTTTGATCCTGCAGGTATCAGGATGAATAAACACATTTTGTTTTGAAATGAGCAGGACCCTGAACCCCTCGTTGCTCCGGGGGGGGGGAGGCTCAACAAACTGATCCGCAAGGCCAGAGAAGCTGAGGAGGAGGAGGAGGAGGAGGATGTCCCCCCCCCCGATCTGCTGTCAGACACAGACTCATCCCCCATAATGCACCACAGGAAGTCCCTCCTGCCTGTCAGTCAGAGTGCCACACTGAGAAACTAAAAGTTGGATTAAGTTCCTCAGATTGTGAGGATAGTGTGCTTGAGGGGCAGACGGGTGGAGAACCAATCAGAAGCCTCATGAAGGAGCATGCAGAGCGACAAAATGAATATTCATCAGGAACATTAACACGTGAACATGTTCAGGATGGGGTGGGGTAAGACCCCCCCTCAGCTCAAAGTCTATTTTCTGGCACATTAAAGGACATTTTATTGATTTCTTTGTCTGCTCAGGGCAACATATTCTAAAGTAAAACAAACAGCTACAGTTGACAAATTAATTTCTCTTGAACCAAACGTATTTTTTAGGGAGAAGTCACTTTCCACCGGCTCCTTCCAGCAGCCCTACGCTGTGCGTGATGACGCAGCCTCACCGTCAGCTCGGAGGCCTGGACTCTCGGTACCGGGATCACCGGGACTCTGCTCAGCAGAGCGGGTCTGTCCTCCTCCTCCTCCCCGCCTCTGGAGCTCAGCAGGCGGCCCGCTGAAGCCCCGATCCCCGCCCCGAACAGCAGGGTCGCTCCGGTCCGACAGAGCCGCCTCATGGCGCCGGTGATCAGCCGGGAGTGACGCGCTCTGATGACGTCACGGGACGAGCCGTAAACCGACGTCTTTTTAGCTTAACTATTTCATTCTTCTAACAATAATAATAATTATTATTATTCTAACAGTGATCCGACGGTCTGCGTTTCCTGGGAACAAGAATAAATATGAAGACATCAAACCGGACTTCGTCGGTCCGTCATTCTTCATCTGGGGCTTTATCACAATATGTAATATATGCAATACGTCGTTTTATTTTATTGACATTTAAAACACAAGACAGTCAGGGGCAGCTGTCTAAGAAGAGAAAATAACAAAGGAAGCACATAGCTAAATAAATAAAATAAGGGTTAAGTGGGTCAAAGTAATATATTATCTGTCCAAAGGAAATTTGTCAAACACACAGTTAGTCTTGATTTCCTTCTTGTTCTTAACGTTTTTAATCGTGGTGCTATACTGACACAGTTCTTGGAGGAAGTGTCCAAAGTGTGGTTTGGAGTCAGTCAATTTTTTCTTGTGGATGTGGAATTTCCCTAATAATAATACCAAGTGTACAAAAAACTGACGTCTTTTTCCTGAAACATTTGTCCAGTTTTCCTTTTCATATAAAGTTCAACATCCCACCGAAACATTCTACAGTATTTACACTGATAAAACAAATGACCAATTCATTCTTCATGTAATTGACAGAATGTGCAAGAATACTCAATATTCAATCTAAATCTCTCCAACTTCTTCTTTACGGGATATATACGATGTAATACCTTAAAGGAAACCTCTGTTACTTTGTTGTTAAGACAGAATCTGTCTACATCTGTCCACATTTTCTGCCAAGTAATTTCTCCATAAAGTCCAGAATAGTCTGCCTGGAGATGGTAAAACCACCGCTGTGTATTCCTTTAAAACCACCGCGTATTCCTTTAAAACCACCACTGCATATTCCTTTAAAACCACTGGGTATTCCTTTAAAACCACGACTGCATATTCCTTTAAAACCACCGCTGTGTATTCTTTGAAAACTAATTCGTATTCTTTTAAAACCGCTGTGTATTCCTTCAAAATCACTGCGTAGTCTTTTAAAACCACCACTGTGTATTCCTTTAAAACCACCACTGGGTATTCCTTTAAAACCACTGTGTATTCTTTTAAAACCACTGCATATTCCTTTAAAACCACTGCATATTCTTTTAAAACCACCACTGTGTATTCCTTTAAAACCACTGCGTATTCCTTTAAAACCGCTGTGTATTCCTTTAAAACCACCGCTGTGTATTCCTTTAAAACCACTGCATAGTCTTTTAAATCCACCGCTGTGTATTCCTTTAAAACCACTGTGTATTCCTTTAAAACCACTGCATAATGTTTTAAATCCACTGCTGTGTATTCCTTTAAATCCACCGCTGTGTATTCCTTTAAAACCACTGCATAATCTTTTAAATCCACTGCTGTGTATTCTTTTAAATCCACCGCTGTGTTTTCCTTTAAAACCACTGTGTATTCCTTTAAAACCACCGCTGTGTATTCCTTTGAAACCACTGCATAGTCTTTTAAATCCACTGCTGTGTATTCTTTTAAATCCACCGCTGTGTTTTCCTTTAAAACCACTGTGTATTCCTTTAAAACCACCGCTGTGTATTCCTTTAAAACCACTGCGTATTCTTTTAAATCCACCGCTGTGTTTTCCTTTAAAACCACCGCAGTGTATTCCTTTAAAACCACTGCATATTCTTTTAAAACCACCACTGTGTATTCCTTTAAAACCACTGCGTATTCTTTTAAATCCACCGCTGTGTTTTCCTTTAAAACCACCGCAGTGTATTCCTTTAAAACCACTGCATATTCTTTTAAAACCACCACTGTGTATTCCTTTAAAACCACTGCGTATTCCTTTAAAACCGCTGTGTATTCCTTTAAAACCACTGTGTATTCCTTTAAAACCACTGCATAATCTTTTAAATCCACCGCTGTGTATTCCTTTAAAACCACTGCATAATCTTTTAAATCCACTGCTGTGTATTCTTTTAAATCCACCGCTGTGTTTTCCTTTAAAACCACTGTGTATTCCTTTAAAACCACCGCTGTGTATTCCTTTGAAACCACTGCATAGTCTTTTAAATCCACTGCTGTGTATTCCTTTAAAACCACTGCGTATTCTTTTAAATCCACCGCTGTGTTTTCCTTTAAAACCACCGCAGTGTATTCCTTTAAAACCACTGCATAATCTTTTAAATCCACCGCTGTGTATTCCTTTAAAACCACTGTGTATTCCTTTAAAACCGCTGTGTATTCCTTTAAAACCACCGCTGTGTATTCCTTTAAAACCACTGCATAGTCTTTTAAATCCACCGCTGTGTATTCCTTTAAAACCACTGTGTATTCCTTTAAAACCACTGTGTATTCCTTTAAAACCGCTGTGTATTCCTTTAAAACCACCGCTGTGTATTCCTTTAAAACCACTGCATAGTCTTTTAAATCCACCGCTGTGTATTCCTTTAAAACCGCTGCGTATTCTTTTAAAACCACCACTGTGTATTCCTTTAAAACCACTGTGTATTCTTTTAAAACCACCACTGTGTATTCCTTTAAAACCACTGTGTATTCCTTTAAAACCACTGCGTATTCTTTTAAAACCACTGCGTATTCTTTTAAAACCACTGCGTATTCTTTTAAAACCACTGCGTATTTCTTTAAAACCACTGCGTATTCTTTAAAAACCACTGCGTATTCTTTTAAAACCACTGCATATTCTTTTAAAGCCACCGCTGTGTATTCTTTTGAAACCACTGCGTATTCTTTTAAAACCACTGCATATTCTTTTAAATCCACCGCTGTGTATTCTTTTGAAACCACTGCGTATTCTTTTAAAACCACTGCATATTCTTTTAAATCCACCGCTGTGTTTTCCTTTAAAACCGCTGTGTATTCCTTTAAAACCACCGCTGTGTATTCCTTTAAAACCACTGCATAGTCTTTTAAATCCACCGCTGTGTTTTCCTTTAAAACCACTGCGTATTCTTTTAAAACCACTGCGTATTTCTTTAAAACCACTGCGTATTCTTTAAAACCACTGCGTATTCTTTAAAAACCACTGCGTATTCTTTTAAAACCACTGCATATTCTTTTAAAACCACTGCGTATTTCTTTAAAACCACTGCGTATTCTTTTAAAAACACTGCATATTCTTTTAAATCCACTGCTGTGTATTCCTTTAAAACCACTGCGTATTCTTTTAAAACCACTGCGTATTCTTTTAAAACCACTGCGTATTTCTTTAAAACCACTGCGTATTCTTTAAAAACCACTGCGTATTCTTTTAAAACCACTGCGTATTTCTTTAAAACCACTGCGTATTCTTTTAAAACCACTGCATATTCTTTTAAAACCACTGCGTATTTCTTTAAAACCACTGCGTATTCTTTAAAAACCACTGCGTATTCTTTTAAAAACACTGCATATTCTTTTAAATCCACCGCTGTGTTTTCCTTTAAAACCACTGTGTATTCCTTTAAAACCACCACTGCGTATTCTTTTAAAACCACCGCTGCGTATTCCTTTAAAACCACTGCATATTCTTTTAAATCCACCGCTGTGTATTCCTTTAAAACCACTGCGTATTCTTTTAAATCCACCACTGTGTTTTCCTTTAAAACCACCGCAGTGTATTCCTTTAAAACCACTGCATAATCTTTTAAATCCACCGCTGTGTATTCCTTTAAAACCACTGTGTATTCCTTTAAAACCGCTGTGTATTCCTTTAAAACCGCTGTGTATTCCTTTAAAACCACTGCGTATTCTTTTAAAAACACTGCATATTCTTTTAAATCCACCGCTGTGTATTCTTTTAAAGCCACCACTGCATATTCCTTTAAAACCACTGTGTATTCCTTTAAAACCGCTGTGTATTCCTTTAAAACCACCGCTGTGTATTCCTTTAAAACCACTGTGTATTCTTTTAAAACCACCGCTGTGTATTCTTTTAAAACCACTGTGTATTCCTTTAAAACCACTGTGTATTCCTTTAAAACCACTGTGTATTCTTTTAAAACCACTGTGTATTCTTTTAAAACCACCGCTGTGTATTCCTTTAAAACCACTGTGTATTCTTTTAAAACCACTGTGTATTCCTTTAAAACCACTGTGTATTCTTTTAAAACCACTGTGTATTCTTTTAAAACCACCGCTGTGTATTCTTTTAAAACCACTGTGTATTCTTTTAAAACCACTGTGTATTCCTTTAAAACCACTGTGTATTCTTTTAAAACCACCGCTGTGTATTCTTTTAAAACCACTGTGTATTCTTTTAAAACCACCGCTGTGTATTCTTTTAAAACCACTGCTGTGTATTCTTTTAAAACCACTGTGTATTCCTTTAAAACCACTGTGTATTCTTTTAAAACCACCGCTGTGGGCGTTTGAAGGGCCGGACATGGAGCTCCCTCACAGGGGCCACATTTCAAGCTGATTGGGATTTATAAAGGGAACTTGCTTACAGGTGTGCGTCTGCACGGTTTTATAAGTCTGAATATTTTTGGCTTTTGGGCGCACGGACACTTTTGGTGAGGTTTCTACGCACTACGTTTTATAAATGAGGCCCCTGGAGAGTCCTGGAGGGACTGATTAATGACCCTATTCTTTCTTCTTTGTGTATTTGTCAGCAGGTGGCACTGTGTCCTCCACAGCTCATATTTACACCTTCACCATGTTCCTGCAGCCAATCAGGGAGAAGCAGCAGCCAGGTGTGTGTGTGACACATCTTTATTTCCATCATGAGGTCATGACTCGGTGACGTTTGACCTTTTCACAGTCAAACTGCACTCTGGCTACAAAAAACTCCATCTCCATGGTAACTGTCTGTCAAGGATGTATGATGTCACCAGTCTCCACCAGGATCAGCCGACCAATAAGAACGCAGATCTCTTGGCTCTCTGACGTTCTCGTGAGGCTGGTGATTGACAGTTCGTTTCTCTGATGACTTGTCTTTACTGATCAAAGTTTGTCATGGTCACATTTTTACAGTTGTGTCCTGACAGAAAGTCTGTGATCACACGACTGCTCCTCAGCCAAGCAACAACGTTATTATGTTAGCCAGTCACAACAGAGCATTCCCCCCAGACATAAGGTACATTTATTATAGATAATTATTCACAAAGCGGAAGTGATTCCTGATGTGCGGCTTCTGAAACTTATTTCTATTCAGTTCCCCTTGTGATGTCATTTCCTGTGTCCTACATGTGAGAGCCTGTAGGACTCAGTGAACAGCAGGCGTGGTCAGACGTCTCTTTGGGTCCGGGGGCGGGGTCAGCAGAAGGTGGAGGACATCAGACTGAGGGTCAGCAGGTAAAGGTGTGAGGTCAGAGAGGAGGAGGAGCCCTCTGCGTCGTCAAGGCAACCACCCTTCTTCAGACAGACAATCTGCTCGCAGAACGAACCTGCACACATGACATCATCAGACACCTGAGCCGTGACATCATCAGACACCTGAGCAGTGACGTCATCCAGGTGTGTGTTTACCTGTGAAGCTGTCCGGACAGACACAGCGCTGGAAGTCGACGCAGGTTCCTCCGTTCTGACAAATCAGACGCTCCTCGTCACACAGGTTAACTGAACAAGGACAGTGATCAGATATTAATAACTTTATTGATAACAGTAACAGCTGACTTCAGGTAAACATACTGCAGCTGGTCCTGGAGCGTTACTGAAGCCCCGCCCCCCCTGCTGTGTACCTGTGCAGCCGGCTTCACCTCCTCTCCAGTTGTACCCAGGTAGACAGGAGTCACAGCGCCGCCCCGAGGCTCCGGGTTTACACTGACAGAGCCCAGAGTCTGAGCAGTGAGGAGACAGACTGCGCTGCAGCTCACAGTCACACTCTGAGGACAGACAGAGACGTCATCATCATCACCATCACTACCATCTACACCAGCGGTCGGCAATAGGTGGCCTGCGGGCCAGTACTGGCTCGCCAGCAATAATATCTGGCCCGCGGCCAGATTGCTTTGATAGCGGAAAAATGAATAAATTGATAGCGGCTGGTGCTGAAACAGATCTCAGTCATGACAGATACAGTTACTCAAAAGAAGCGCAAGAACGTATTTTGCAGCAATGCTTCATGTCGAGTTAATTAAGAGCTTTTACTTTGAAGAGTTCTGAAGGACATTCAAAAGAAACTCTGGCGTGCTTGACACACCTCTGAAAAAGCCATCAGTAAACGTGTGATCAGATTCCCCAGAATTTTCTCAGGGAAATGAAAATAAGCATCCATACGTTTATAAATGTGGATCAATTGCCAGAACGTGCACACACTACATGCTTTATGTGAGCCTGTGCAAGTGTCCTTTTATTCAATTTGTTCAACAAGGGAGATAAAAATATCCGCAATAAGATGAAATCGATCTCACAACCTACCCGTCGGGAGTCCCGCACAGCACCGCCTGAGCTAAATGAGCACATGATTTTATATGGTTTGTCCTGGCCCACCATATAACGGCTTGGAAAAATTTGGCCCCATGCCAGACTTAATTGCCGACCCCTGATCTACACCATCACTATCGTCTTCATCACCATCACTATAAACACTATCACTATCTCCATCACTATCATCACTATCATCTTCACCCTCACTATCATCACTATTATCACTATCATCTTCACCATCACTATCATCTTCAACCTCACTATCATCACTATTATCACTATCATCTTGAACCTCACTATCATTTTCACCATCACTATCATCTTCAACCTCACTATCATCACTATTATCACTATCATCTTCACCATCACTATCATCTTCACCCTCACTATCATCACTATTATCACTATCATCTTCACCATCACTATCATCTTCAACCTCACTATTATCACTATCATCTTCACCATCACTATCATCTTCACCCTCACTATCATCACTATTATCACTATCATCTTCAACCTCACTATCATCACTTTTATCACTTTCATCTTCAACCTCACTATCATTTTCACCATCATCACTGTCACCACTATCATTTTCACCATAACTATCATCTTCACCCTCACTATCATCACTATCATTTTCACCCTCACTATCATCTTCACCCTCACTATCATCACTATCATTTTCACCATCACTATCATTATTATCATCGTCACCATCACTATCATCTTCACTATCACTATCATCACTATTATCACTTTCATCTTCAACCTCACTATCCTCACTATCATCTTCATCATCACTATCATCACTGTCATCTTGACCATCACTATCTTCACAATTATCACTCTCATCTTCACCATCACCTTCGTCATCATCATCGACACATGACCATCAGTTTGTCTAATGTGTATATGCAGTCTGTGTGTGTGTGTGTGTGTGTGTGTGTGTGTGTGTGTGTGTGTGTGTGTGTGTGTTACTGACCAACACAGACGTTCTCGTCATCCAGCGCCAGTGAGGCGTTTCTATAGTAACCGAGCCGACAGTACTGACAGTTTTGTCCTCGTGTGTTGTGTTTGCAGCTCACACACGTGATCACGTTGATGAAGTCAATGTAGCTGCAGCGATTGGAGTGACCGTTACACTCACAGTCTGACGGAGACAGAGACACATAGCTCAGTCCTACATCACACAAACATACCTGTCCCAACACCTGTAAACACACCTGAACTAAAGTCAGAAATTTACACTCAGAGGCGCTCCGGGCTGAGAGACGTCCAGGTAAGAAGTATTACAGCCTTTTTTCACAGACTCAACAACATTTAAAGAGGTCATATTCTGCTTTTTGGCTTCTCCCCTCACCTTTCTTGTGTTGTAAATCTTCTTTGTGCATGTAACAGGTTTGCAAAGTGAAACAGCAACTCTGCTCCTGAACTGTACACAGCTGGACTGCAGTCCAGCCTTTACGTCAGTAACCTGTAATCTGGTAACTATGTAACGCGTAGCATAACGCTCACCTAGCAGCTGGTGCGGTACGCCCTTAGAATCTCTGGTGGAGAAACACACTGAGCTCCAGCACACAGTGACAAGATGTCCCCCAACCCTCACTACCCAACATTACAGCCCCTCCATGCAGTCAGAGGATATGAAGCTGTTACTGTGATGTAGAAACAGAGCTCAGTTAAAACGGTATGAAAGTTGAATGTTTTACAGATTAATAACTCACCACTCTGAAATCCAGTCCAGGTTCTGAAGCTGGTTCTGGTTGTTCTACCCATGTTTCTGGATCAGACTCTCGGGCTCCAACATGATCGGCTGAACCGAAGCCATGGTTTGCTTGTCAGGACCCGCCCTACTCTGCCTCTGATTGGCTAGTAGTCTTTATCTAGGCACTGTGCATGTGCAACTCCCAACAAAGATGAAATAGAAGTGAGATGTTTCACTCGGCAGCTAAAACATTCAACACACAGGGTGAAAAGAGGAGCTGCAGCAATGCGCAGTCTGAACATTAAACCATGAAAACCTGTTCTGGTCCAAACCCTGAATAAAATTATGAACAAATTGAGCAGAATACAACCTCTTTAACTGAAGTTAGGTAACATCCTGTAACTGAGGGAACATAACTGGTGTAATATCAGGTACAGTAACCTTTTTGTTTTATCCTCTCTTCCCTGTTGGTTTACTTTTTACTTAACGATAGCCCACCCACTGCAACCCCCCCCCCCCCACACCCAAATCCCCACCCAAATCCCAGCACAGAGGACATCAAACAGACAGACAGGTGAGACAACCATGAACACTGATGGAGAAAGGTCTCATCACAACCCAGATCAGTCTGACCCTGCTGGCCCTTACACAGGTCTGGTGTTTCTTTCAGGTGACCCTGACAGTGAGCGTCTGTGGTGAGCTACAGGGGGAGGAGCCAGTGCCTGTTGGCAAACATCTACTGTCACATCTGTTGGGTGTTTGGATGCAGGGGCGGGACCAGCACAGGTCAAAGAGTAAGGTGGTCAGAGGTGGTCTTACCCTGGAAGGTGACATAGGCGATTTTGGACAGCTGACTGAACTTTGGTCCTCCTGGAATCAGAATCTTCTGGGTCGCTTTGGACACAAAACAATGTGTATAACAGCGGCAACAGGCAGGTAGCAGCACTACACTAACTACCAATCAGAGCTCAGTACTACTACTGAACTATTAGGTCTACTTATCAGAAGTACTGTTACTGCTACTGAAGGAATTACTGCTGCTGTTACTAATGCTGGCCAGCAGGTGGCAGTTCTATCTGCTTGTACATGTACCTTTTTTCTCATAGACTTTGTCATCTTTCTCCTCCTCTCCTTCCTTTTTTTTAGATTCCTCCTTAGATTTCTCTTTTGTTTCCTCTTTGGCCTCAGTGACTGTTTGGTTCAACAGAGACATAAAATATTTAGATTTGTGTGAAAATACAGTTTGGTGGATCAACATGTGAAACTGCAGCTGCTCTGGTAGAAACTCTACATTTACAGAGGCAATCGGATCTCTGCTGGTTTTCAGCTTCATGTCAATGACAGAACTGGACTTTCTTAGAGTTGTGTCTCTTTCCTTGTTATCCTCCAAAACACCCCAAAACCCCAACGGCTACTTTCCACCTGACAAGAGTTTCATCAGCAGGGTGTGAAGGATCGAGGGACATAGCACAAAATTCTGGACCCTGTACATAGGCAGTCTCTATTAGCCCCTCCCTCACATGAGGACACTTTAAACTGGACCTGATGAAAATCCGTTTGCACAGACTTGAGGTCAGTGAACATCATTTACTGATGTTGATTGGTGATTCAGTTTAAAGCGCCCAGCATAAGGTCCAACTTACTTTTGGTTTCTGAAGCTCTCACACCACATCGTCTTAAGTCACATGATAACAACTTACTCATCTTCTGAGGAAGGTCAATATATGTGGTTGAAAGCTTTGAAGACTACAAGTAAGTTGCACCTTTCATCAAGCTGCTTTTTCTAAGGTCAAGAAGCTGAAACTGACCCTGATGAAGAGTTTCTGGATGTGCAGCCAATGTTCTTAGATACATTATATCCTCATCTGACCAATCAGTGCCTTATTTTGTACCTTTCTCTTCTCTTTGCTCTCCCGTCTTCTCTTGTTTAGAGTCTTTCTTTTCATCCGACCCCGACCGTCCTGCTTGTCCACCGGCAGCAGAATCCTCTCTAGAGAACTTTCCTTCCATTTGAGCTGCTGAAGAATCAACTCCTGGATTATCTACTGCTTCAGGAAAATCTGGTCTAGAATATAGAACGGAACTTGCACTGTCTGGTGAAGAAGAATCTCGTCTAGAATCTAGATCAGGACTTGCACTATCTGGTACAGGGGAATCTGGTCCAGTTGATTCCATTCCACCATTTCCTCTTTCCCCTGTATCTAGCCCTGCTGAAACAGAATCCAGTCCAGCATTGACTAAACTGGATCTAGGAACATCAACAGATCCACGGAAATCATCTGGAATGGTCCCACGATCAACAACAGGCACTGCTCCAGAATCTGGTCCAGGTTTAACTGAATTTGGATCATCTGGAAAAGGGAAAGTGAAGTCCACAGGGACAAAATCACCAGCAGGGTCAGACCGATCTATGGTGGTGGACCTTGTGTCTGGTGCAACATCACCTTCTCCTTCTTCAGAAGAAGGCAAAAAGTAGTCTACAGGAGCATCAGGAAGAGGTACTTCAGGAGGTGCTCCATCAGGAGAAGGTACATCTGGAGGAGGTATATCCAGAGGACGTTTTTCAGGTGAAGGTACATCTATCAGAGGGTCTGGAGTCCTAGAGGAGGGCGCCTCTGGAGGAACATCAGGAGGAGGTACATCAGGAAGTGGTACATCAGGAAGAGGAGCATCTGGAGGAGGTACATCAGGAGAAGGTACATCAAGAAGAGAAACATCTGGAAGAGGTACATCAGGAGCCACTTCATCAGGAGAAGGTACATCAGGAAGAGGAGCATCTGGAGGAGGTACATCAGAGGGAGGTAAATCTGGAGCTGCTTCATTAGGAAGAGGAACATCTGAAGGAGGTACATCAGGCGCTGCTTCAGGAGAAGCTACATCAGGAAGAGGAGCATCTGGAGGAGGTACATCAAGAAGAGAAACATCTGGAGGAGGTACATCAGGAGCCACTTCATCAGGAGAAGGTACATCAGGAAGAGGAGCATCTGGAGGAGGTACATCAGGAGAAGGTACATCAAGAAGAGAAACATCTGGAGGAGGTACATCAAGAAGAGAAACATCTGGAGGAGGTACATCAGGAGCCACTTCATCAGGAGAAGGTACATCAGGAAGAGGAGCATCTGGAGGAGGTACATCAGGGGAAGGTACATCAAGAAGAGAAACATCTGGAGGAGGTACATCAGAAGGAGGTATATCTGGAGCCGCTTCATCAGGGACGGGTACATCAGGAGGTGGTACATTTATCCGAGTGTCTGGAGGAGCATCAGAAGTTGTGTCAGCTCCTACTGTGGGTGAAGCATCTCCAGCCTGATTGGTTGGGGCTGATTCAGTGGGTGGAGTATCTCCAGATGGAGCCCCATCACTGGCTGAGGATAAATCTGGGATGGTTGTTGTTGATGCTCCAGTTGATGTTCTAGTACCACCAGCAGAGAGGGTAGTACTTGTGATCAGGTTGGTAGTGCCAGTCCCAGAGGGGGCAGGGTCTGTATTTTCTGGTGAGGAGGTGGAGTCAGAGGGCGGAGTCACTGGGTCAGAAATAGACACCTCAGAGTCAGTGCTGCGGCCTGGGACAGTGGGGCTGTCGGTGCTGGTGTAAATGGTGGGACTGGAGATGCTAATTGTGGTACTGGGAGTGGTTGTGTCTGGTACTGTGGGAGCTGGTTTGTAGAAACTGCCCCCTGTCTCCAGAGCTGGACTACTGGATGTAGCTGTGTCCACTGTAGGTTCTGCTGTACTGCTAAGGTCTGGAAATGCATCAGAACCTGTAGTACTGACAGTAGTAACTGTTGTAGTAGTAGAGTCTACACCAGCGTTAGGAAAGTCACCAGTATCACTAGTACTAATAAAGTACATTGTAGAGCTAGTATCAGTCGGGGTGGTACTGACAGTGGTAATATCACTACTAGTACTCGTTTCTGCAGCAGTCATACTCCACGTGTCAGTGGTAGTATAAGTATTTGCTGTATCTGTGACAGTAAAAGGATTTGTTCTTGTAGAAGCTGCATCATAAGTCAGCGTGTACAAAAAAATTGTAGCACTGTCTGTAGGAGTAGCAGGGTCAGTAATGGAAGTAGTAGGTCCAACAGTAGGGAGAGTACTGTCAGTAGGGATAGTACTGTCAGTAGGGAGAGTACTGTCAGTAGGGAGAGTACTGTCAGTAGGGATAGTACTGTCAGTAGGGAGAGTACTGTCAGTAGGGAGAGTACTGTCAGTAGGGATAGTACTGTCAGTAGGGAGAGTACTGTCAGTAGGGAGAGTACTGTCAGTAGGGAGAGTACTGTCAGTAGGGAGAGTACTGTCAGTAGGGATAGTACTGTCAGTAGGGAGAGTACTGTCAGTTGTCACAGTAGGAATAGTGTCAGTAGTTATAATACTATCAGTAGTAGTAGTGGTGTCAGTCACTCCATCTGATGAGGCAGAGGGTCTATCAGATGCTGCTGAGTTAGAGTCACCAGCCGCTGTCAGAGAAGAAGAGTAACTGTCTTTAGTGAATCTCAGCTTCCTGTTCTCTACAGGACTGAGTTCTCTGCAGAACACTAAACACCAGAAGCTTTCACCCAGAACCCCAGGCCTGTAGTAGACTCCAAACATAAATGAGACCGTCTAATACGTATAGGCAGCAAAGGTGTCTGAAGTCTGAAGCCCTCCACAGCTGTTCATCCTAAACCTCCTCACAAACCCTGATCTGTGACTAGTCCTCCTCTTGAACCTCATCATCTTTCTCCTGAAGCTCAACATGTTTGCTTCCTCAGGCAGCTGTTAGATCAATGGCAGCACACTATGCCGATCCTCCACCGGGTTGTTCAGATAACCCCAAACACCCTGAGCAGGACCGGCCAGCACACCTGTCCCTCGTTGTATACTCTAAATATATAGTGTTCCAGCCCCTCTGCTCCCTAACCCCACCTGCGGAGATACCCAAATACTTTTGGAGTCTGCTGCCGCCATCACACCACCAGTTCAGAGCCACGAAACCCGGCCAGCCAATCAGAGGGTGTGAAAACTGTTCTGCAGAGACCTTTACTGGACTCTAATGTTTCTGTGACCAAATCCACAACCTGCCGGACGCTCCCTCGTTTAAAACCCAGAGTTGCACTTTGATTTCAGATTGTTGGCAGAAGGTGAGATGAGATTCTCATGTCTGGGAAGATAAATGTTCTGGTGTTTGTGTCCATCTTTGGGCAGAGCTGTGTGGATTCAGCCACCGTTACATCTCCTGGGTAATAATCAGTAATCAGATATTGTCTACTACTTATTATTTTGATCACTGTTGCATCCTGCAGGATCTATTGATCCTTTATTAGAACTGTCCTGAGAACAGCTGAACCGGTTTGAAGCTTTGTGACGACACTGTCCTCAGTAGAAAAACACCCATAGGGGTCGTTTGGCCAGCACGTTGTTACAACCTAAATTAACGCCCTCTAGTGGCCGTACAACAGTATTAGGACCGGGTGGTTGGATGGGTCAAACCCGGACTTTCACTCGGGAGTGTGTTGAATGAAATGTTGTTTTGAGTTTGAGTGACTTCCGTACTTACTTTAACCCAAACCATGACGTTTTCCTAAACCTCACCAAACTGCGACTGTTTCACGTTAACCACGTGTTTAATGTCATGTGACTTATGTAATGTTCGTCTTACGGCTCATATTGATCTGATAGGAAGGCTCGTCTGGAGCTTTTATTCTGAAGTGCAGCTTCAACAGGAAGAACCAGAGTGACCTTTCAACTTGTTGGGTGGGTTGTTTTTTAATTAGTCCTGTTATTAATAAATCAATATGTCATTCACATTATTAGTCCTGCGCTGCTGTGTGTAATGTGCACGGTCGGCATCGTGGTGCAACTCTAATCTGATAACAGGGAGGATTTATGTTCTGTGTGTTTATGTGCGGCTTTGTTAAAGTTCAAATGAGGCAGATTTACTTTAATCCAGTGTGTGTGTGTCTGTGTGTGTGTGTGTGTGTGTGTGTGCGTTGAGTGATTGACAGGTCAAAACAGGCTAACACAGATTAAACACACACACCATCTGTCGATGTGTTAACTCGCTCTATAGAACAGATTAACTTTACTCCCAGAATGCATTCTGTTATTTAGCCGACCCACTCATGTGACTGGCCCTGTGACCAATCAGAGCAAGCAGGTGATGATATAATGAAATACTTGGTCTTAATGTACATCATGTCGTGCTACAGTTTGCGGGCTGTCATGTTTCCTCTACTCCGCCCACAGTTTCCACATCCCCTGTCTCTCGATTTGGATGTTCTCTGATATTCAGGAGGGCAGCGCTGACTTAATGTGATGCATGCTAGACATAAGCTTAACATAAGCCATACTGGTTAGAAATTGTGTCAGACTTTCGCCGGCGCTGCAAAACGTCACCATGTCACGACATTAAAACCTTGCGTGGGATAAACTGTGTTGGTCTTTTCTCCTGGCTTACTTCAATGACCGACGCCCCAATGATGAAAGTAAATGTACCGTGTTTTTTTACCGCCTACTTTACAATCAATATTTTAATATGAAGCTTGTCTCCCGTTTTATTTGTGTCTTTACACCACGCGGTTTGTCCTGTCCTGATGAAGACTCTCTTTCCTTTGGACCAGTTCAGTGTCCAGTGAAAAATGTTTTAATAATAACATGTAGTTATAGAGTTAAATCCCATGATGCAACACTGATCACACACAACATCACATCACTCTAGAGTGTGGAGACGTAGGTGGGTACGAACAAAACACAATGACCAGGTGAGCGGACAGACAGGTGAGCGGACAGACAGGTGAGCAGACGACGAGCAGGCAGACAGGTGAGCAGACAGACAGGTGAGCAGACAGACAGGTGAGCAGACGACGAGCAGGCAGACAGGTGAGCAGCAGACAGGTGATCAGACGACGAGCAGGCAGACAGGTGAGCAGGCAGACAGGTGAGCGGGCAGACAGGTGACAGGTGAGCAGGCAGACAGGTGAGCAGGCAGACAGGTGACAGGTGAGCAGGCAGACAGGTGACAGGTGAGCAGGCAGGCAGGTGAGCAGGCAGACAGGTGAGCGGGCAGACAGGTGAGCGGGCAGACAGGTGACAGGTGAGCAGGCAGACAGGTGAGCAGGCAGACAGGTGAGCGGGCAGACAGGTGAGCGGACAGACAGGTGAGCGGGCAGACAGGTGACAGGTGAGCGGGCAGACCTGTGAGCAGGCAGACAGCGAGCAGGCTGACAGGTGAGCAGGCAGACAGGTGACAGGTGAGCAGGCAGACAGGTGAGCAGGCAGACAGGTGAGCGGGCAGACAAGCAGACAGACAGGTGAGCAGGCAGACAGGTCTGCTACTTCAGTAAAGGATGTGAATACATCACCTGTATTCACATCCTTTACTGAAATAAAAGTACTAATACCACAATGAGAAAATACTCCATTACAAGTAAAAATCCTGCATTCAAAATCTCACTTAGGTAAAAGTATTTGTGTACTTACAGTATTGTAGTAAAAGTACTCACAGTGCAGTAAAGTGTTCACTGTTCTATCTGATGTTGAATTTTAACTCCTTTACATCCTGTTGGCTAGTTAATCTGCAGCAATGCATCATGGTCTGTAAGGTTATCATGTGTTTGTTGTTTTGCTGTCCTGTGAGAACCTTGTATCTCTCGGGGGGCTGAAGGAGGAGGATTTTTTTCTTGCTGCAGGTTATAACTAACACCTGGAGATACTGGGTTTTACTGGACAGGAAGGGGGACAAACAGGTGTACTCTGTAAAGTAACTAAAGCTGTCACATGACACAGGTAGTGCAGTACAGTGTTTACCAAAAGGTGGGCAGTACTTACTGGCTGTTGTTTCTGCTGCTTCACCTGAAAAAGACAACATTAGTGTCAGTAGTGGTTCAGTAGTGAGCTGTAGACAGTCTGCGGTTCAGTAGTGAGCTTTAGACAGTCTGTGGTTCAGTAGTGAGCTTTAGACAGTATGTAATTCAGTAGTGAGCTTTAGACAGTCTGTGGTAGTGAACTTCAGACAGTCTGCAGTTCAGTAGTGAGCTTTAGATAGTCTGCGGTTCAGTACTGAGCTTTAGACAGTCTGTTTTTCAGTAGTGAGCTTTCGACAGTCTGTGGTTAAATAGTGACCTTTAGACAGTCTGCGGTTCAGTAGTGAGCTTTAGACAGTCTGTGGTTCAGTAGTGAGCTTTAGACAGTATGTAATTCAGTAGTGAGCTTTAGACAGTCTGTGGTAGTGAACTTCAGACAGTCTGCAGTTCAGTAGTGAGCTTTAGACAGTCTGTTTTTCAGTAGTGAGCTTTCGACAGTCTGTGGTTAAATAGTGACCTTTAGAAGGTCTGCGGTTCAGTAGTGACCTTTAGACAGTCTGCGGTAGTGAGCTTTAGATAGTCTGCAGTTCAGTAGTGAGCTTTAGACAGTCTTTGGTAGTGAGCTTGAGACAGTTTGCGGTTCAGTAGTGGTTCAGTAGTGAGCTTTAGACAGTCTTTGGTAGTGAGCTTTAGACAGACAGTCTGTTTTTCAGTAGTGAGCTTTCGACAGTCTGTGGTTCAATAGTGAGCTTTAGACAGACAGTCTGTTTTTCAGTAGTGAGCTTCAGACAGTCTTTGGTTCAGTAGTGACCTTTAGACAGTCTGTGGTAGTGAGCTTTAGATAGTCTGCAGTTCAGTAGTGAGCTTTAGACAGTCTGTGGCAGTGACCTTTAGACAGTCTGTAGTTCAGTAGTGAGCTTTAGACAGTCTTTGGTAGTGAGCTTTAGACAGACAGTCTGTTTTTCAGTAGTGAGCTTTGGACAGTCTGTGGTTCAGTAGTGAGCTTTAGACAGTCTGTGGTTAAATAATGAGCTTTAGACGTCTGTGGTTAAATAATGAGCTTTAGACGTCTGTGGTTCAGTAGTGAGCTTTGGACAGTCTGTGGTTCAGTAGTGAGCTTTAGACAGTCTGTGGTTCAATAATGAGCTTTAGACGTCTGTGGTTCAGTAGTGAGCTTTAGACAGTCTTTGGTTCAATAGTGAGCTTTAGACAGTCTGTTTTTCAGTAGTGAGCTTTCGACAGTCTGTGGTTCAATAGTGAGCTTTAGAAGGTCTGCGGTTCAGTAGTGAGCTTTAGACAGTCTTTGGTAGTGAGCTTTAGACAGTCTGTGGTTCAGTAGTGAGCTTTAGACAGTCTTTAGTTCAGTAGTGGTTCAGTAGTGAGCTTTAGATAGTCTGCGGTTCAGTACTGAGCTTTAGACAGTCTGTGGTTCAGTACTGAGCTTTAGACAGTCTGTGGTTCAGTACTGAGCTTTAGACAGTCTGTGGTTCAGTACTGAGCTTTAGACAGTCTGTGGTTCAATAGTGAGCTTTAGAAGGTCTGCGGTTCAGTAGTGAGCTTTAGACAGTCTGTGGTAGTGAGCTTTAGATAGTCTGCAGTTCAGTAGTGAGCTTTAGACAGTCTTTGGTAGTGAGCTTTAGACAGTTTGCAGTTCAGTAGTGAGCTTTAGACAGTCTTTGGTAGTGAGCTTTAGACAGTTTGCGGTTCAGTAGTGAGCTTTAGACAGTCTGTTTTTCAGAAGTGAGCTTTAGACAGTCTGTTTTTCAGTAGTGAGCTTTAGGCAGTTTGCAGTTCAGTAGTGAGTTTTAGACAGTCTGTTTTTCAGTAGTGAGCTTTAGACAGTCTGTGGTTCAGTAGTGAGCTTTAGACAGTCTACGGTTCAGTAGTGAGCTTTAGACAGTCTACGGTTCAGTAGTGAGCTTTAGACAGTCTGTTTTTCAGAAGTGAGCTTTAGACAGTCTGTTTTTCAGTAGTGAGCTTTAGACAGTCTGTTTTTCAGTAGTGAGTTTTAGACAGACAGTCTGTGGTTCAGTAGTGAGCTTTAGACAGACAGTCTACGGTTCAGTAGTGAGCTTTAAGCAGTCTGCGGTTCAGTAGTGAGCTTTAGACAGTCTGTGGTTCAGTAGTGAGCTTTCGACAGTCTGTGGTTCAATAGTGAGCTTTAGAAGGTCTGCGGTTCAGTAATGAGCTTTAGACAGTCTGTGGTAGTGAGCTTTAGATAGTCTGCAGTTCAGTAGTGAGCTTTAGACAGTCTTTGGTAGTGAGCTTTAGACAGTTTGCGGTTCAGTAGTGAGCTTTAGACAGTCTGTTTTTCAGAAGTGAGCTTTAGACAGTCTGTTTTTCAGTAGTGAGTTTTAGACAGACAGTCTACGGTTCAGTAGTGAGCTTTAGACAGTCTGTTTTTCAGTAGTGAGCTTTCGACAGTCTGTGGTTAAATAGTGACCTTTAGAAGGTCTGCGGTTCAGTAGTGACCTTTAGACAGTCTTTGGTAGTGAGCTTTAGACAGACAGTCTGTTTTTCAGTAGTGAGCTTTGGACAGTCTGTGGTTCAGTAGTGAGCTTGAGACAGTCTGTGGTTAAATAATGAGCTTTAGACGTCTGTGGTTAAATAATGAGCTTTAGACGTCTGTGGTTCAGTAGTGAGCTTTGGACAGTCTGTGGTTCAGTAGTGAGCTTTAGACAGTCTGTGGTTCAATAATGAGCTTTAGACGTCTGTGGTTCAGTAGTGAGCTTTAGACAGTCTTTGGTTCAATAGTGAGCTTTAGACAGTCTGTTTTTCAGTAGTGAGCTTTCGACAGTCTGTGGTTCAATAGTGAGCTTTAGAAGGTCTGCGGTTCAGTAGTGAGCTTTAGACAGTCTGTGGTAGTGAGCTTTAGACAGTCTGTGGTTCAGTAGTGAGCTTTAGACAGTCTGCAGTTCAGTAGTGAGCTTTAGACAGTCTTTGGTAGTGAGCTTTAGACAGTCTGTGGTTCAGTAGTGAGCTTTAGACAGTCTTTAGTTCAGTAGTGGTTCAGTAGTGAGCTTTAGATAGTCTGCGGTTCAGTACTGAGCTTTAGACAGTCTGTGGTTCAGTACTGAGCTTTAGACAGTCTGTGGTTCAGTAGTGAGCTTTAGACAGTCTGTGGTAGTGAGCTTTAGATAGTCTGCAGTTCAGTAGTGAGCTTTAGACAGTCTTTGGTAGTGAGCTTTAGACAGTTTGCGGTTCAGTAGTGAGCTTTAGACAGTCTGTTTTTCAGAAGTGAGCTTTAGACAGTCTGTTTTTCAGTAGTGAGCTTTAGGCAGTTTGCAGTTCAGTAGTGAGTTTTAGACAGTCTGTTTTTCAGTAGTGAGCTTTAGACAGTCTGTGGTTCAGTAGTGAGCTTTAGACAGTCTACGGTTCAGTAGTGAGCTTTAGACAGTCTACGGTTCAGTAGTGAGCTTTAGACAGACAGTATGCGGTTCAGTAGTGAGCTTTAGACAGACAGTCTACGGTTCAGTAGTGAGCTTTAAGCAGTCTGCGGTTCAGTAGTGAGCTTTAGACAGTCTGTTTTTCAGAAGTGAGCTTTAGACAGTCTGTTTTTCAGTAGTGAGCTTTAGACAGTCTGTTTTTCAGTAGTGAGTTTTAGACAGACAGTCTGTGGTTCAGTAGTGAGCTTTAGACAGACAGTCTACGGTTCAGTAGTGAGCTTTAGACAGACAGTCTACGGTTCAGTAGTGAGCTTTAAGCAGTCTGCGGTTCAGTAGTGAGCTTTAGACAGTCTGTGGTTCAGTAGTGAGCTTTCGACAGTCTGTGGTTCAATAGTGAGCTTTAGAAGGTCTGCGGTTCAGTAGTGAGCTTTAGACAGTCTGTGGTAGTGAGCTTTAGATAGTCTGCAGTTCAGTAGTGAGCTTTAGACAGTCTTTGGTAGTGAGCTTTAGACAGTTTGCGGTTCAGTAGTGAGCTTTAGACAGTCTGTTTTTCAGAAGTGAGCTTTAGACAGTCTGTTTTTCAGTAGTGAGTTTTAGACAGACAGTCTACGGTTCAGTAGTGAGCTTTAAGCAGTCTGCGGTTCAGAAGTGAGCTTTAGACAGTCTGTTTTTCAGT